GAACAAAAGTGCGCGAAAGCATTAGATATCAATAGATGTCCCATTCCCCTCCCCTTGGTAACCCCAGTCCATAGTCCAATCCAATATCTCCCCAGCTGTCAGATGGGAGACATCTTCAAAAATCATCATCAGGATGGTATGCCGGACAGTTGGCATTGGCGGGAAACTCCCCTCCTTGCCATATGCGCAATAGATGGTGAGAACAACTCCCAATTAAGAGTCCCCCTGTACAGATTATTTCCCACTCCCAAATACCATGCCCTCCCTCCCCGTTTCAATGGCAGCCGAAAAGCAAGCAGCAAAACAGAGGCTGACACTTTCAGCTAACCAAAGTAGGAGTCGAAGGAGACAACACTACCTCAGTTGGGCTAAAGGACTGACACACTATAAATGGAGTGAGAAACCACGTCTTCTGAATATGGTTATACAGGGAGTGCTCAACATACAACAGTTCGTTTAGTGACCGTTCAAAGTTACAACAGCATTGAAAAAAGCGACGTATGACTATTTTCCACACTTATAACCATTGCAGCCTTCCCATGGTCAAAAATCCGATGCTTGGCCATTGACTCATGTTTATGACGGTTGCAGTATCCTGGGGTCATATGATCACCTTTGGCAAGCTTTAGACAAGCAAAGGGATGCCAGATTCACTTAACAATCGTGTTACTAACTGAACAACTGCATTGACTCACTTAACAACTGTGTCAAGAAAGGACATAAAATTGGGGAAATTTACTTAACAAATGGCTCACATGGCAGCAGTAATTTTGGGCTCAATTATGGTCATAAGTTGAGGACTTCCTGTACCAGAAATCTCAGTATACAGATTTGTTCCTGTTGCTTCCATTTTTCCTCCTAGATTCTATCCTATCCTGGAAGTCACCGTGCTGAACTTCCACATCTGCTCTCCCTTTCAAGTGAACTGCTCAGATGCTGGAAAAGGGTCACAGTTCAATCAATATTCAGAAAAAGAGCTTCAGGCTCATGGAAGCCAGAGGCATAATTTTCAGCAAACGGTATCACTTGTATAACACTATTTTTTTTAAAAAAACTGTTTGCCCAAAAATAAGGCATGCCCTGCTAATAAATCCAATCGGGCTTTTCAGAGCATGCACCTTAATAAGCCCTCCCCCGAAAATAAGTCCGCCCCCAACCATTTAAGCGCATGCGCAACCGGTTCCCGCCATTACCACTGTACCACCTACCGGTACATCTTGCGGGACAAAAAGAGGG